ACAAAATGTGGGGCACACACACAAACACACACACAGACAACCCCGTGACAATATGCGTTTTGTAACACAATATGCGTTTTGTAAACCGTACTATTATGCGTTTTGTAACGCTGTTACACAGCAAAAAACGCATAATAGTACGGTTTTTTTTGCTGTTTTTTCTGTTTGCTTGTTTTCTTGACATTTAAGAAATACATCACGTTATGGTCGGCAATTATTAATTCGGTGGACGATTTAGAAGCAGTGTATTGGAACTAGTTGTTCCGTTGCTGTCAGTATAGCATAATAAGAACCGGTAGAAGAGGAACAAAGATTTTTCAGGAAACCAAATTTAAACAGCTTGCATTCCATTATTTATTTGTTCGGGGACTATTGATGCTGCCTGTGTGGATTTGCTAGGAAGAAAGGTGGATGGAATTTTTTGTTCAGGATGGCTCGCATCTACTTAACTATGTCATTTGCCTTGTTTATAGCACTTCTTCAAACATAGGGGGTTCCGGAGCAGACTTTTGGGAGGGGAGGGCGACGAGAGATTGAGGAGGGGGTCCCCTTTCACCGTGGAACTAGGCAAAAACTAGGGATAGAGTTGTAACACTGCTACCTAGATTTACTTTAGTTTAGAGTGGATTTAGATTTAGTTGACTTTAGTTTTAGCTTTAGACCCGGACTTTTGCAGCACTGGTGCCTGAACCGGAAGATACTTCGCCCTCACCCCATCCTCTCCGGATTCGTCTATGCTTTCAAAAGGCCCATTTATTAATGCATCTGTACAACAGCATTTTCCGCCTAATAGTACCTCTTGTTTGGATTTCGCCTAATCTGTGCAGCCGATTTATTGTCCGCTGACGCTGTCCCCTTACCTTACCTTTGTGCCAGTGCTTCAGTTTGCTTTGCCCCCTTTGTTGAGCAGTTGTTTCATCGTCTCATTGTTGTTGTAATTGGCAAATTTCCCATTGCTCACCGGTTTGAGCCCCTCTCATCCACGCAATTCCAGTAGTTGTGCAAAGGGGTCCCTCCTTGCATCTGGCGTTTTCCTTGTGTCTTTTAACACTGCAGTGTCAGTTATCTGCATTGCCACTCATCGCCGAACATTTACCGTCTCAATTCATTCTGCTAGCGTTCGCTTCTTTGAAAGCTTTCTACAAGTCAGACCAAAACCGCAGGGAGGATGAACTGCTCAAATTAACTGTTTAAATTGATTTCAAATTAAACTTGTAATTTTTGCTGTTATAAAGAAAAAGGAATTGGCAAAGATTTGAGACATTGTAATTTTAATCTTAGACGATGTGTGTTTATGTAAAAAATAAGGGTTAAAAAGGAAGAAATAAAACGAAGGTGAATAAGATAAATCGGATTAAAAAACCTGACTTTCGGATGACTTCCCCACTGAGTCAATGCGCATAATGGAAGGAGCACAGGTGCCTGGATCTATGGCTGTTAAAATCCATTCCGGCAGAGGTCAGAAGTCTGGTTGGAGTGTTGCATTCAGTGTGACCAGAACAAATAAACCTGCACTTTTGTGGTTTGATAAAAGTGATAATTCAGCAGTTTATGCGATTTAGATTTGGCAACTGCATCTGTATTTTCTCGGAATTGCTGAAGCAAAGTGTCAAAGTAAGTGAAGCGAGCAACGATGTCGTTGATGAGACCGAAGACACTGAGGACGGGCACCAATCAGGCGCTTCGAATCGCTAAAACTGGTAACAATTGCTTTTTTTTGTGTCTCCTAGTATATTTTTATGCTGGTCTTGTAGAAAATGAGTATGGCTTACTTTAGGGATTTGAAGACAGGCAGTAACGCAGAAGTTATAACTTTCTGTGAACAGTCGTTTGGAATGGATTTTTAGTGATTGAATACATGAAACCCTCGTACTAAGTATAAATTTGTGGAAATTTCTGACCAAATTTTCTTTGATCTAAGTTTGTTTCGTGCTTAGGAGCGGCGGTGAAGATGATGGCGTCGCGTATCAATTTGGCCACGAGGGGAATCAACTGTGAGACGGAGTACGGCAGACATATGGAGGATCTTTCGAGGCGTATATTTACTGAGCCACCTCGAACAACTCATTCAAAAAATCTGAAAGTCGTGCGAGTGATGTCGGAGGAGCCTTTGGAGCAGCAGCCATTCAAAGCGGTAAGTGTTATTCCATCTCGTCAGTTGTGATGAACAGTGGC